TCTCTAGTGAAAGGTGAGGAGTCGTTGAGTAACATCTTGAAGGGTGAGTTTGATGGAATTGAGATCGATTTTTAAAGACGAAATTTCGGTGGTGAGGAATTCAGAGCGTTGTTGCTCTGTTTGATGGTTGAGTTGGAGATTAGAAAGAAGGTTGGCGAGTTCTTGGACGCGATCAGGTTGAGGAGAATCCATGGTTTCAAGTAGCAAAGAGTTTTAAAAGATCACAATATTATTGTAATAACTAAGGTGTTACAATAAGTTTGGACAGGCCAAGACAAGATGTCTTATAAGAATATTGACAGACGAGCTAATGATAACTAGGGCACTAAGGTTGCTTATCAATGATAAGACTTGATTGAAATTGAGAAGATAAGGTTGAATTGTTGCTTTTTGCAGAATGATAAAGTAAGAAACAAAAAAATTGCGATGAGGAGAAACAACAAAGATGGAAACCACTGGTGTCTTAAATATTATAGGCTGTTACAAGACTTCGTATTTCCAAGTTCCTTGTCCTATTTTCGATCCTTGTATCTACGACAAATATAAAAGCTCATCGGAATACTGCTCAGTGTTAGCAGACGTTTTAAGAAACATTAAGTGAAATCATTCCTCAAAACAGAAATGCCTCCACTCAATACTTTATCCCATATTATGGAATAAATCTAGTTACGTATTTCCAATTCTCACAGAGCTCCCAGCTCACGCGTAACAGTTAAGGGACGATTGTCACTTTTATTATGCGTTTGGGGGGCTTTTGTTTCTAGATTCGGCCACGCCTTGAAGGGTGTTCAATCGTGGTGATCTTCATAAAAGCCTGCCAAAAAAATGCCCAGAAGATGTTCTCTACACCACGGGAGCACCTCGACGGCAATCCGGCAAGGGTTTTGCTGGGCAAACCAACCGCCCCCGACCCAGCCAAACCTTCCTGTCTGCCGACGTCAGTTAGGCAGCTTTGCGGCCAGGAAGGTGGGGAGGTCAGCGAATCGACCCATGTCTGCCGGGCGGGCAGTGCGTCGGAATGGGTCATCCCGACTGCATATAGGCAATTATCTCAGGGGTCTGATACCCCCTGAGATTATGGATTCATGGTCCTGCGGGCGCGCCGACCTCCCGTTGCGGTCACGCCGCCTGCATGGCTGTCATCGGTCTCAAACAACACTGCACCAAGGTTGACACATGCTGTGAGAGATCACTCAGACAAAAAAAAAACAGTCCAGACTGTGCTCGGAGTCTGGGCCACTCAAACCATCAAAAAGGCTACCTCCTCAGAGGACTCGAACCAGGGGCCCCCAACTCCCAGGCTTGACGAGCGGTTCTTCTCACCGCTTGACTGTAACAGATTGATAGTTCGGTCTGATTCTCAATCCATAATACCGCATCATTGGTTTTTTGCAATTTTTTTTTTCTCTAAGTGATTTTAATTTTCAATTTTTTTTTTTTCAAGACCAATTTCTTCTCGAGCTTTTGCCTTGAAAAGATTAGCTCTGATAGAGTCAAAAATACTTGCAAATGGTAGCT